AGGAGGAGAAATAGGAAGAGGAAGAGGAAGAGGAAGAGGAAGAGAGAGAGGAAGAGGAAGAGGAAGAGGAAGAGGGCGAAGACGGGGTGGTGGAGGGGGGTGAAGAGGAGGAAGAGGAGAGGGGTGTAGTTGAAAACGGGGTGGTGGCGTCGGAGGAGCAGGTATCGGCAGAGGCCAGTGGAGAGGAAGAGGAGCAAGACATTGGTGACGGCGACGACGATGAGGAGGAAGGGGGTACAGAAGAGGAAGAGGAACAGCAAGAGGGGGAGGAGGATGAGGAGGGCGAGGAGGAGGAGGAGGAGGAGGGCGAGGAGGAGGGGGAGGGTGATGAGGAGGAGGCGATGGAGGGAGGAGATGTTGGAGATGTGGCGGGCGGGGTCGGCGGTGAAGTGATGATCGAGATACAAGATTCCTCAGAAGAGGTCAGTACACATGTCTTACTACCGGTCCAAGCATGCGCTCTTTCGCGTGTTGGAAGTTGAAGTTTACAGCGGAGTGATGACACCGTTCGTGCTCACCTGTAATGTAGTACTTCGAAGTAGTTTTTTCGGGTGGTCTGGCTCTGTCTCTTGACGCTCTACCGTGTTGATGGATTTTTGTGTTGAGTTTCAAGAAACCACGCTTGATTGCGCGTTCGACCTCTGTTTCCTCCCGTAAGTTGTGGCGGCGGTACCGGAAAGCCGCTTGACTGGGTGACCACGAACTTGAGAGATCGAGGTGTAAAGTAGGAGTAGTAACGTGGTGACACCTGCATCTCATGCTCAACTTCGTTGCTATCTTCATACGGGCACATGTTTCACATGTCGTTCGGTCCCCAGAGGCGTGGAGTCTGTTGCGTTATAGGCAGTGATGGTATCGAAACTGAGGTTATTGGTAGCCCTGTGGGAGGTGCACCCTTCGTTCAATGGCGTTGCTCAACACGAGGAGGCGTTTGACCCAGCAGAGGGGGGTGTTTCCCCTTCTTGGTTGTGCTTCAATAAATGCTAGCTTCCGTTGTGCTCGAATATATACATTCGTCCTGTTTGTACGTGTACCCATCCTGCAATAGGCTATGGCATAGCTCAGAAGGCACCGCTGTGGCCATGTGACCTTCAGCTATCGACTGGCGTCCTCGACCATAAATGTATCGACCCACAGCATTCGATTATCTCACACCCTGCAACACGTGTCTAAGTGAAACACTGGCCTTTCCGCCTGCAGGACGGGGACCAGGCAGCCACCGCTACGGCGACAGACAACCAGGACGACGGACGACAGGAACGCCACGAGACGGCAGAGATGGCAAACCGGGATAGTTCGTGTGTCCCGTCTCTTGACGCTTCCGCTACCGCCGTGACCGATACTGTCGGCGAGGGCAACAACGGAGGAGGTGGGCAGGAGCCTCTGGGTGACACCCACCCGTCGGACCAAGCACCGGGTTCTGTAGCTGGCGCTGGCGACATGTTGGCCAGCGGTTCAGCGGCAGCCGGGGACGGCGAGCAGTCAACCGCTGCTGCCCGCGTACAAGACCCGCTCGTCGCCGGCAACGGCGGCGATGGTTTGCCGCCGGACTCTCAGGCTCGTGTGCCTTCTTATGAGGGTGATTCAGGCGCGCTTGTGCCCGGGCTGGCCTTGCCGTCGTCACCTGGTCGGGCAGATGGTGCTAGAGGTGCTAGAGCCACGGGCAGGGGCAGGGCGAAGCAGGTGAACGAGGAGCTCGACTCCGTCCTTGGTAAGCGCAGCTACGGGGAGAAACGCGACTTGGTAGGCTTCTTGGCGGACCCTACTGCGCGGCCGGCGAACCCTCGCGTCCCCGTGCTCCCTGCGGAGCAGAAGAGGCGGGTGCGGCGTGCCGCCCGACCGGTGGAGAGCTGGGACGAGCGGCCGATCCTGGACATCGACCAGGAGGGCCAGGCCGAGGACCTCGCGGATGAAAGGACGACCAAGAGGGCGGGTGCGTGGTGCGGGGCGACTGGCGACAAGTGGCGGCGGGCTCCCAGCAGCGAGTGGACGAGGCTGGTACCCACCATGCAGCGCAGGGCCGGGCAGCCGGTGGTGCGGGTCGTAGCTTCCACGAAGAGGACCCTAGGCTCGGCCTTCGGGACTTTCACCGCCCGAGGCACGTCCGCCGCGGCAGTCCACCACGCCGGTGACCTGAGGAAGCTGAGCGCAAGGCCGGGCTACGACGGCGACGAGCTTACCCCGATGCTGCGGCGGCTAGATGAGCAGGACAGGGACGACGCAGCCGCCGCTGCCGCCGCTGCCGCCGCACGACGCCGCCCAGCCCCCGACGCCGGTGCGATGGCGTCCGGTTCCACGGGTGCTACTAGTCTGTCGCTTGTGCGGTCGGCGGCGGCGGGGACGCCATCCCGCACCCCGAAGCCTGCCAGAGCAGGCGGCGGCTTGGGTGTGGGAGCGGCACGCGATCGGAGGCAGAGCGTCGGGTCGGCGTTGCGCTACAGATCCCGGGAGTTCACGCCCCGCCGGAGGCCGTCGCTAGCAATGGCAGGGGAGCAGAGGTTCGGCGCGGGTACGCTCGGCGATTGGCTCGGTGAGGCACCCAAGCAGCCCCGTCCAGGCCCCGTCGGTGCCGCCGCCGCCGGCCGCCGTGGACGCGGCGACGGCGGCGACGCGGGCAGCACTGGCCAAGGGCAGGCTTCGAAGCGCCGTGAGGTGGGGAGGCAGGAATCGCCGCTCCTGGTGGAGGGCTCGCAAGGCCAGGAGAGCGGAACTCCCGCCGCAAGCAACAAGCGTGCGGCGTCCTCCCTCGGCCTCGACGGCATGGACGCGACTCCCCGCAGGAAAACCATGGCCATGATGGACGAGAGAGCCGTGGCGGAGGAAGGCCGAGAACTGGTGAGGAGGGTAGCGGCGGAAGCGAAGGCGACGGCTGAGGTGGGGAGCATCCTCATGTCGGTGGTGTCGCAGGAGAACAAGGGTAGAGACGTGACGAGGCAGGTCCGCGAGGAGCAAGGGTTGAGGGAGAGGGAGACCAACAAGAAGACGGAGCTGAATCAGAGGGCCGGTGGCACTCAGCCGACGATCGGGGAGGCTGGCAAGGTTAGTTTGTGGTTTGTGTGTCGCACGGGGCCGGAGGGATGGATGTTGCGTTTACTAGCCGAGGGCTTCCAACTTCTGAAACCTTGACTTTAGTGGGTCCATGTGGATGTACTTGCACAGTACCGTATTCAGTATTTTGGTTGACAGATTGTTGTTAAGGAGCCACCGGCGGCCGTGCTCAGCTGTAGTTCTACTTTTTTAGTTGCGGTGTTCGTGCCCGCTCTGCCTCTCTCCGCGCGTTGGACTACGGTGTCCCTGGCTTGCGTGCAGGTCGCCGATGTGCGAGACAGCCGCGGGCAAGAGGAGCGGGAGGTGAAGGAGCGCCGCAAACAAGACGAGAAGAAGAGGGGTCGGTCGGAGACGGCATCTTTCACCTTCGCTGCCGCTACCCAGCTCCCTGTTGCCGTGGCTCCTCAAGCCGCCGCGTCCCGAGAGTCGTCGGAGTTCGGGTTCACGACCTCACCGGTGAGTGTTGTCGTGTCCTGTCGTGTCGTGTCTACTACGGGCATATGTGCTGTCCAACTCGTGCGGTGGGCCTTTGAAAGCTTGTTCAAACGCTGCGTTGTGTTTTCGGGATTATTGCTGAGCGATACTTGATGTGCGGCGAAAACGTTTGGCGGTGAAAGGCTTGCTCGTCAGCAGTGGATGGATGTAGTGAGGACTGCGTTGTTGCTGGCATTTGGTGGCGTCTTTCGAGGGTCCCAAGAGCACGCCAGCAGGTGTCGGTGCAATATAATCTGCGACACAAGAGAAATCACACCCTCTCTGATCTCTGATGTAGCTTTTTCGGAGCTCGATGTTTCGATTTTTCGATTTTTCGACACCAGTGAGGCGTGTCACGATTTTACCGTCCGATACGTCGTCTTTAGAGCGGTTTTGATGATAACCTTTACCTGAACCATCCCATTGCCACGGTTTCGGCATTGGTAGTCTCCTCCTTGGTCTGAAGGTATCATGCTTTGGAAATCGGTCCAGCGGGTTGGGTGCCTTACGTGTGGTAAGCGGTAGCCACTATGAGGGCGGATGTGTCCGTGTGGCAATCCCCACCGAGGGTACGACCGAACGGCGACCGCGAGATATGCCTGGGCATCGTGCATACGGAGCGTTGTTTCTGTGATTGGTACTTCGTAGCGCGGGCGATGTACGTGCCCCATTGTATGTATTTCCCCCACGTTGTGGTCGTTCGACTCATACTGCTATACCTAACGCTATGACGTTCTGTCCTCCCTCGCCTCCTTGCCAATCCACGACTCGACTCATCCGTCGAACCTCTCCTGAAAAGAAGGGCCCAGCTCGGCTTCGACTACAGCAGCAGCAGCGAGATGGTGACGCCAACGGTGGTGGGGGGGACGGTGCCATGAGCGTTGACAGCATGTACCCAGACTGCGACGGCGACTTCGCGTTCGGCGTTCCCTCCGCGAGCCACCCCCCCGCCCGCTCGGCGCAGCGGCAGCAGCAGCAGCCTCTGTTCTGCTTCTCGGACCCCCCTCCGGTCAAGCGTGCATTGGAACACGGCCAGGGATCGGAAACAGGGGTGCTGACGACAACTGACGACATGGGAAGGGACGTCCCAGCAGGCGCCTTCGAGTTTTCGACGAAGCCTCGCAAGGCGCGCAGGACCCGGAGAGGCGTAGCCGCAGGGAAGAGTGCCGTGGAGCAGCAGATGGCCCCTCTTGCCGTAGCCCCGCTGTCGGTTGCAGGGTCCGGCGGCGGCGCCAAGACTTCGGAGCCGAGCAAGGTGGCGGCCGGCGCAGCGGCGGCATCCTCGGCGCCCATCACGAACGGGTTCGACATGTCCAAGTTCAGGAAGCCTGGCGAGTGGAAGTGCGGTGCCTGCCTGGTTAGGAACCCCCCGGATGCTACCAAGTGCCTTTCTTGCGAAGTGCCCAAGCCAGGAGCAAGCGCTGCAGCCGCGGGGGGGGGAGGGATCCTGGGCGGTTCATCTGGCGGTGCCTCTTCGACCCCCAAGTTCACATTCGGCGTCGTGCCGGACGCTGGGGCTGCTTCGGGCGGAGCTCTTGCTTCGCCCCCCGCTCCTGCTCCTGCTGCTGCTGCTGCCCCCCCGGTCGCGTTCGGCGGCGGAGCGGGGAGCACGACGTCGGCGTCAACGTCAACCGCGCCTACTGCCGGTGGGTTCGACATGTCAAAGTTCAGGAAGCCTGGCGAGTGGAAGTGCGCCGCCTGCCTGGTCAGGAACCCCCCCGATGCCACCAAGTGCCTTTCTTGCGAAGTGCCCAGGCCAGGGGTGAGCGACGGTGCATCGCCGCCGGCCGCGGGGGGGGGAGGAGGGATCCTGGGCGGTGCCGGCGCTTCGACCTCCGCGCCCAAGTTCTCCTTCGGAGTGCAGCCAGCCAAAGCGGCAGCGACAGCGGCGGCTAGCACTGCTCCGAGCGCACCTGGGTTTTCCTTTGGCGCGGCGAAGGCTTCGACGTCTTCCACTGCAGCGCCTGCGGAGAAGAAGGCCGCTTTCACCTTTGGTGCGCAGCCTGCTGCGCCCGGGGGTGATAACGGCGGTGGCGGCGGCGGCGGTGCGACACCGGCCCCGGCGTCGGCTAGTGGGGGGGTGGGACTCCTGGGCTCCCTAGGCGGTACGTCGTCGGCGCCCTCTGGCGCCTTTACATTCGGCGGCGCCCCTCCTTCCAGCGCTAGCACTGCCGCCGCCGCCGCACCTTCCGGCGGCATGTTCGGCAAGCCTTCCGCTTCGCCACAACCGCAGTCGTCTGGATTCGGCGGGGGCTCCTTCGCTGCTCCACCTGCTGCTGCTGCTGCTGCTTCTCCACCTGCTCCTGCTGCTAGCGCGCCCACGTTCGGGTTTAAGATGCCTACGAGTTCTAGCAGCGGCACCTCGGGCACTGGCAGTGCCGCCCCGGTATTCAGCTTCGGTTCAGGATCCCTGCCAGCTCCGGCGGGCAACAGTGACAGTAATGCTGCGCCGACGTTCAGCTTCGGTTCAGGATCTCTTCCTGCTCCCGCTGGGAACAGCGACAGCAGCAGTGCCGCGCCCGGGTCTTCTTCGTTGTTCACGTTTGGGGCGGGAGGCGGTGCTGCTGGTTCGTCATCACCGTCCGGCGTGCCGGGATTGTCGTCTTCGGGTGCTGCACCGAGATTCACCTTTGGACAAAACCCGGCACCGCCCAAGTAGAGACAAGCTTGAGAGCTGTTGGTTCCGCAAGCTAGGTTTTTCACTTTTCACCCCATGTTGGGCGGTGTTATTGCCTCATGGAAATACACACCCGTGGCATTAGAGCAGCAGCAGCGGCGGCGGTTTGCTCTCATCAAATGAGCTAGCTCTTCCTCAAAGGTGGGGGGAGAGCTCGCTATGGTTACTACCGACAGGCAGCGTTTTCCGAGTTGGACTCTTAGATGTTGGTTTGGCGGGTAGCTTGGTTGTTGTGTGGAATGCATATGTGGTGGGGTTTGTCGCGTGCGTGACGTCTCAACCCAACACCAACGCCACCGCCCACCTATTTAGTGTACCGACCGACTGACGATACTATACCCAAGCACGTGTATGATGTAGGGACAGGCATGTGGCGGCCAGATGTAGCACAAGGGGAGGAAGGGAGAGAGACCCTGCCAAGAAGCTGTGCTGTTGTTTTTGTCTAGAGGGGGGTGGAGGATAAGCTACAGCAGATAATTAGGCGGGGGGCGTTATTTCAACAGATGGATGATGATGTCGCTGTGTAGAGTAGACGCTGTTTTTTTTTGTGGTTGACTTGTTTTGTCCACAGACGAACGGCGAGTCAGCTCATCAGGTCTACAACAACTATGTAGCTCATGCATGGCTCGATCAGGCCTTCTGTGATGCGCCTTTTGTTTTCGGCGCAGGTGGTGGGTGGTTCGTGGGTGTCTCTGTCATGTTTGGCGATGGCTGAAGCAGTGACAGCGCCTGTTTCTTGTTGGTGCATGTTTTTTTTTTTATCCCATCAATTTTGTCGGACAGAGATTCTAGATGTCACTCGCGGACGCAGTGGCTTGCGATCCACCTCGCTGTCGGGACAAGGGTGACTGCTGTAGTGGTTTGAGAGAGGAGGAAGAGGTGGAATTATGAGGGGTAAGGGTGAGCCAATCGTCGCTTAGCTTCTCATATCTGCATGTGGTTTGACGCCTCATCATGCGGACAGCACAGAGGAAGTCAAGGAAGGGAGGCGGGGAGGAAGAAGGAAAGGTGTTTCTGTGCACTACCATACACAGCAGTTTAGTGTTTTGACTTTCCTCTTTCGAACGGCGTGGCTGCTGGCTGTTGAAGAGGAAATGTGGGATTGATTGTTTGAAAGATGACCGTGTGAAAGAAGATACGCATGCAATGCGTGCTTGTTCCTTTTCTTCTCGTCCCATCTGTTGCCCGTGCGCCTGCCAGATCATGAGCATCCGATCATGATCAACAGATGGCCACAAATCAGGCTCAGCCTGACTGAGTTGAGGCGAGGCCAAAGTCAGTAGTTCGTGTTGAGCTGAGCTGACGCTCGACACGTCGTTCGTTCTGGTTACATTTCAGCCTCGCTCTGTTCAACTCTATCGACTCTCTACCGATCGGTCCGACAATCGTGTGCACCTTGTTGAAGAACAAATGCCCTGCAGGCGAGTGCGGTCTAATGGAGCAGTCATCTTTCTCTCAAATGTACCCACTTCCCACCACGCTCATCATCTTGGGCAGGCATTCGAGCCGCGCTGGGTACAGTCTCACCAGCCACAAGCAGACACAGAAGATGTACAATCTTCCGGGTTTTTCAATCCGGTACACACCCACCTCTCTGTCTTTCACGAGGAAGATGGTTCGTTGAAAAAAAGAGACCACGGTACGCACCACATACCGCATCGGCTACAGTCGTGGTCCCGGTTTAGCGGTCCGTAACCGCTATTGAGGGCATCACCGCTAAACCGGATTGGCAATTGTGTAGTTAGTTTGACTACCGAAGTGCAGCCGTGCGACGAGATTTTGGGACCGCTGTTCAGGGCATCCCGCCAAACAGGGAACCGCTAAACCGGGACCACGATTGTACCGAAGAGGACGGTTCAAACCGCCACCAGCAGTACCACCGCTTGATGTTGGATCATGTTGGATCATGCTGGATCATGTTGGATCATGTTGGACAATGTTGGATCGATCATGTTGGAGGCCATCACTGAGTCTCTCTCGGATAACATATGACTGCGAGAAGCAAGTCATCAACATCCAACATCCGATGTAAACAGCCGTCAAGTTGTACATAAGGATCACCGACGGCATCTTGCACACCGCACTCGTCGGCAGGACAGCAGTCGTCTGTCTGTCTGTCTAGCAATATTTACCGACCCGACTACTAGGAGAGAAGAGTTAAAAGCGAGACTGAAATGTGCGAAAAATACCAATCAAATCAAACCGCGATTACTTGTCATCTACTAAATCGCTCCTGACTCGCCCAGGACACGTCTAGGATTATCGTGATCCTGCCCTATAGTAGTAGAAATACAAATACGCCGACGACACTCCGAAAAACACACAGCAAAACAAGCGCTCAGCTGGACACGTACGGCGCACATATTTTTTTGACGTGGATACATGTATGTCCCTTACCCCATACAGGAATCAAACAAGCTACACTTTAATACTTCCAAAGGTGCGGAACTCGAATGAATCCGATTTAATTCAATGCGATTCCAAGTCACAGATGCACACCGTCACATCCCATCGTATGCATCGTAACATCACGTCCATCCAGAGACCTACAGGTAGAATTTGCTTATCTAGTCCTCTGCCAGCAGTTCTTCCAGCTCTTCCCACTGCAAGCGGAGGGAGGACAGGGTTGACGACCCCAACGGACCAGCAAACGAGACCAGCAGAAGGACACGGGGGAGACGTAGGGAGGAACAAAGGCAAAGATAGGTCATGCTCATGCTCACTGTACACAGCACTACAATAGCGGTCCCTGTAAAAGACCACAAAAGTAAGGCCGATGGTCCTGTTGTATAAGGTTAAGGTTGGTGAAAACGCGTGAAACGGAAGGAATATTGGCATGTCTCATGCTCTGATTAGTGCTGGGTGCTCGGTATAAGGCCGGCCAAATCCCTCGACACTACGCGGCGTTACCGCAGTATACACGGAACACTGCAGTAACGTAGAGCATGGTTTGCGTCGAATATGTGCAATGATCTTGATGGGCATTAGTTTTTGCTTCGATGATCACCACGCACAGGGCTAGTTTAATCGTTTCTACTTCATCGAGCTGCTAGAGAGTGCTACATGGCCACTAGAGACTATACATGCCAACGACAACGAACTACGACCCATCCGGCACCGCTCCCGTGAAAGTAGATCTTCCATCTGAAGCACTACATGACTCCATCATGATCGATGCATACGGGCGTGAAAGAGGGGAGAACAACTTCCTAAATACAACCGTTTGTGTTGATTGATCCATCGCTAGCATGGATGGCATTGATGACATTCATCGCATGGCCAAACCAAGTAGACATTGTCGTAGCATCACAAAGTCACCTCCCTCAAATGTCTAGTAGTCGCTGAGCTGGTCCTGCCAGTGCCATTCAGATATAAAACTTTTGTATGGAGACGCACTTGCGCTACACAAGGGTAGTGATGATGCACCTTCCTCAATGCACCTGCACGCCATCTACAATACTACAATACCTGCCTTTCGGTGTGAGATTTAAAACTACTCTTTTTTTCATCTCTCCACCACATGATACCACGTCCTTTCAAAAAAAAAAGCCCAAGTGCTGATCGGCATTAAAATTAGACAACAACAAACAAGGTGTGATGCCTTGAGTGTGTCTCTCCTAGATAACATGTACCGGTATTTTCGCTGCTGTTCCCGCTTCGAATGAGACTGACATTTTTTCAATGGTCAGCCGGTTAGCGCGGTCGATGCCAAGACTAAAAACAATCCCCACGGCAAGAAGCACGCACCTCTGCGTAGAGTTTTGCCGATCTCGCTTCTGCGGCATCCTTATCCTTGACGATCCTCGCCACAGTCGCCGCATCGATGCCCTCCTCGTACATCTCGTCCGTCAACGCACTGATCTTGCTATCCAACTCTTCAACTAACGCCTGAGGCCAAAACCAAAACGGCAATACAAAACGAAAACACCGGCAATACAAGAGAAGAGGGTAACATGGAAGCAACATGTTGGAAAGGAAAGCTCTCGTTCGGAAGCGTTTCTTGCACTTGTCGATTTGTTTTACCCTCTTGAGGTTGTTGGAGAAATCGAGCCATGAAAGTGAGTCGCGTACGTGTGCGATGACTCCAGCTCCCACGGTAAATTACTCATCGCGTACGTACATACCGCCCGTAAGCACCTTTACACCTCTACCCTTTACCTCACCTCGATCTTGCTTATTCTTCCCGGCGCGTTAACTTTTTTTTTTCTCTCTTTCTCTGCGGCCGCTCTCAATGCCTTCTGCGCCTTCTTTTCGGCAGGGGTCAGCTCCTTCTTCGATTCTGCGTCGCCTCCCCTGGCAAGCAAGAAGAAAAGAAGGAGGAAAGGCGGAATAAGAAAAAAAAACGCATGTCAATAACATAGATAACGGGGCATTGTGTAAACCCGTAACGCCAAAAAAGGGGTCCTCGGCAAAAGGCTGGCCCCCCTCGAACAAACAGGAGCCACACACTTCAAAGCCCTGGCTACCACTCGATTTGCCACCTCCAAGGTCTTTGCCCCCCCCCCTCCCATCAGTCCAACCCCTACGGTCGGGAAGAGACGCAAGGAAGCTGGCATGGCAGTATCGCATGTGCGGGATGGGAGAGGAGAGGTTGCTGAGGATAGTATGGGAGGCGAAGTGGACAAACAAAAAGAGGGGTAGACAACACACGGAATGGGTCAAGGTTGTAGAGGACATATGGAAGGGGTTAGACATCGACGAAGATGAAACGCTGGAAACGGAGGGTCTACAGGGGTTCAAGGAGAAGATATCTGTTGGTTGTGCCGAGAGAGAAAAACAGAATCTAAGGAAAGAAACCAAGGATGGGGGGTCTAGCTAGAAGTGTACCGAATCTTGAAAGAAGGAATAGGGTTCAAGGATTACCTACATGGACCTATGGATGCAGGGACAAAGCTTAAGGTCAAACTCAGGACCGGGGACATAGGCCTTCGAGAACGTCGACGGATGGTAGACGACGAAGACGACAAGTTCAAATGTGATTGCAGCTTCGAATGCGAAGACCGTGCTCACGTAGTCGCGGAATGTCCGTGGTACGAAGAGGAGAGGGAAGTGTACATGACTGAGCTGGTAAAAATGCAAGGGAGGTACAGGGAGATATTTGAGGCATGGAATAGAGAGGAGAGGACGGTAGCTGTACTGGGGAGTAGGATGTGGTTTGAAAAGGCGGGGAAGGGATATCGTTAGGATAGACAGACTAGGGAAGACCTTTTTTAGCCACCTTTGGCAAAGTAGGAAGGAACGATTGGCCATCGGTGATCGGTCCTGTGGGAGCAATGCTCCGTCCTCTCGAGGACGCGTGGTCAATGGTCTAACCGCTAAGGCATGCAAAACATAAGAATACGCCCCCTCCCATCAGTCTGGGGGTCACACTTGTCACACTCACTTCCAGCCTTGTCCCTCAGCATCGTGCTCCCAGTCCGACGCCCTCGGCGGTCTGTCGAGGAACTTCACCTCCCCTCCCTCAACAATCGACGTGTGCGTGGTCGACAGCCGGGTCACGAAGTCCTTGTTGTGGGACACCACCACCACCGTGCCCTTCCAACCCTGATCGATCCATCCATTGCAGGACGTTGCCAAGAACAGTCCAAAGAACGTTACGTAGAACGGCGGGACACCGAAAAAAGGGAGAACCGACAGGCGGTAATCGCATCGAGAGACACACATTAGAGATAACAACAAATATTAACAGTTGGCAGGGGTTGCAGTTGAAGACTGTACTGCTGTAGGTGGTGCTGTCACTCAAGTGGCACGTAAACATGGGTGCACAATCAATCGATCAGAAAATGTCATACCACACCGCCCACACCATGCCGTGCCAAACCATGCTGCAGTACACAAAGGCACAAAGCTCCCCACACGGTACTCCACCGTGCAGGTCGTAGCTCAGCACCATCAGAACAAGGCAATGAACGCCAGCACAAGACAAGAAAGAAGGAACATCAGCTAACCATTTAAGAATATATCTCAGGCAAACAGGCACACTTTTCATCTCCATTTGTCAACGTTACTCGGTGTACGTGTGGATGGATCTTTGCCGTTTTTCCTCGCACCGCAGCTTTTTGCCCGCGCAGCTCACCTTGATTGCGTCGACCAACGAGTTGAGGGTTTCAGCGTCTTGGTTCCATGAAAGCGAGCCAGCAGCGCCATCACATGCCATGCCATCACAACGTACGTGGATCACAAGCACACAAGAGAGAAGGCGCAAACCGTCCAGTTGTTAAAAACACGTTCGGTCGATCACGATGCGTGTTGTGATGCACCTACGCCAAAACGCGTCACAACAAGAGAGCCCCACGAAACCAATTCCGCCCGGTACGTTATCACAAGAGCGGCAGCGGGGCGGGGATGTGTCCACTCACCGAGATGGTTGCTGGGTTCGTCAAGCATGAGGAGGTTGTACGGGATCATGACGAAGATCGCCAGGGCCACCCTAGCCTTCTCCCCTCCAGAGAGAACGCCGATTTTTCGCAGAGCCTTGGGCCCTTGCAGCCCCAGCGAACCCTGCACCACATACATGCGGACGGCGGCATTGTGAAATTTCAACAACTGGCACCAACCGACAATTATCGTAACGACGGTGCTCCACATGTGGGTGCGCTAGGTAAGGCTTCGAAGGAGAATTGTCAATCGATGCAAGCGTTGTCTTAG